CTAGATTTTTGAACATATCTGCCATCTCTTTCTTATTCGGTACTTGTAGTTCACTTTCCAGTTCTCTTGTCTCCAAAATCTCTATTACTTGTTGACTACTGAAATTCGTTCCCAGGGAGAGTCTAGGGCTACTTTCCAAGCTCATTTCCAGTTCACTTTTTTCACCAACACCTTGAGACCTTTCTGGAGTCACATTTCCTTGGGACGTATATTTATATCGTGCCCGTTTGGGACCCCTTTAGCCCACTACTTTCAACGTTTTTATTGTTCATCTCTTCTGCTCGTCTCTTTCCTCTTTTCTTCCCTCTCTCTCCTTAAACACTGGAACCACAGTGAATCCTAAGCAGTATACACCGTATAAGCCTGGGACCCAAATTTTAATCCACCTTTTTTATTATTCACTTTTCCACTGTATTCTCCTTCCAGGGCTGCTGATTCTTCCTTATCCCATTCAGGCCCCTCAGGGAATCCCCCCTTTACATCTCTTCTTTTCCTTTTAAGCAAACAGTCACTCTTATGCAGTATTGGCCAGCCCAAGCTGCTCACACTTCACCCTTTCTTTGCGTTTCTTCCGTTGAGACAGCCCGGGCCACCAGCTGAAAAACTTCAAGCTTTAATTGCTCTCTTCCGGGGGATTCCTCTGGGCTTTTTCCTCTGTCAGATCAATTTCTACTCCCCTGTGTTTTGGCTCCTTTCACCAGGGGAGTAGGCTGTCCATCTACTGTATCGCTCATGTACCGGGGGGGGGGGGAGCACACCGGCGGCTTTCCTCTCTCTCAAACGCAGGCTGGCTTTTCCCCTTCCCAATACTCCTCTGCAGCTGACTGCGTGGTCACGCCGTGTCACGTCATCTTTCCCAGCAGCCTCACTCTTCAGTCCGGGCTTCCTCTGCGAGCCACGTCGCAGCAGTCCTCCCTCTCTCTACCGCTCCCAAGGCCGCCGACTCTGCTCCGGGCCCAACCACTCTCAAGTAGGTCCCCAGCTCGTTACTGTCTCCCCTAAAGGCATCCAAGGTGGTGTAGAGGCATTGGAGAGCACCCGCACCGTGCTCTCCTACGCTGCCATGGCTAGGCTCCGCCGCCCCCTGTACCCCTCTCCATCACCCTCTTCTTCTATCCTATGCTCCCCTCACTCACATCTTCAATCTCTCACTCTCTACTGATGCCTTCCCCTCCCCTCTAAAGAATGCACACATCACTCCCATACTTAAAAAGCCCTCCGTGGACCCCACCAACCTGAACAACTTAAGACCCATCTCTCTGCTGCCATTTACCTCTAAACTCCTAGAATGCTTAGTCTACAATCGCCTAAGCTCCTACCTCACTAACAACAACCTTCTTGACCCTTTACAGTCTGGCTTTCACTCACGCCACTCCACTGAAACTATCCTACTAAAACTCACTAATGATTAACTAACTGCTAAAACCAATGGCCACTACTCCGTACTCTTACTATTTGACCTCTCTGCGGGTTTTGATACTGTTGACCATCCCCTCCTCCTCATAAAACTCCACTCTCTTGGCCTCCAAGACTCTGCTCTCTCTTGGTTCTCCTCCTACCTATCGCAGCGCTCCTTCAGAATTACCTATAACTCTGTCTCCTCCACTCCACTCCCTCTTTCTGTAAGGGTCCATCAAGGTTCTGTCCTTGGACCCCTTCTCTTCTCCATCTACAACTCCTCCCTTGGTCACTTGATAAACGCCCATGGCTTTAAGTACCATCTCTATGCTGATGACACACAAATCTTTCTACTCCTTACCCCTTCAATCTCCTCTTGCATTACTAACCTACTAAGTGACATAAAAGGACTTGTATAGAAGCTAAAATATATCAATATCAATTTATCAGTAATGAACTGACAAATTAGTAAATTAATAAATTAGTAGCTTATATCACCATGCCAAAAAAATGTGAAATAACTATAATGAAATAACGATTAATCAAATATGTGATTAGAGCTGCTGTTTTAAACAAATTAAACAACATATAAATAAATGGAAATACCATAAACAGCACTCTCAAATAACCCCTTAAATAATGTATAAATAAATAAATATAAAATACTCAGAAACAAAAAAATAAAGACTTTATAAGTGTGATTCTTGTGAGCTACTATGGTGTATTTAAATTATCTGACCAATTAAAATAAAAGGTGAAAATATTATCTAGTGAGTGAATACATACATAAATTGAATCAGTGGGTCGCCTACACTATACACATACCCATACAAATGTGTCTTTATCAAATTAAAAAAACATTTTGTGTCGCGCTCCACTAACAATATACACAAAAATCAATTAGTGCAAAACAATAAACTGATTACTAATATATTTCCATAACGTGATATTATCAATCACGCTAGTAATGCATGCATATCTTCACATATCAAGTAGGAATCCTCAAAACAATCCGTGATTCTATAGTGTCTTCTATGATATATAAAAAAATGGAAAATAAAAATGAGAATAAAGAAATAAAAATCTATATATTGAAAAAAAAAAAAAATTATATATATATATATATATATATATATATATTCACACACACACACAAAAATAGTCCACCAAATTTATAATTGTATACTGTGCTCCTTCACCAGTTGTGCTCTCACCTGATGTGTATGACCAAACCGTTAAGTGAAGTCATACAGGCTTGTATCCCTTTAATTGGGCTCAGAATAGGACAAATGGATAAATCCCTGTATCCCAGATGGATGGATGGATGAATGGAGTTTTTTCTCTTTTCCAGCAGGGGGTCTCGCAGTTGTCAAGAGATCCTATTCCTGAGTATGGATGGATGGAGTTATCCCTCTTCCCTCTAGACTTTTAACTCCGTATATGTGTGTTCCCCAAAAATCAAAGCAGATAAAAAACAGCAGTCAATGATAAGTAGAGCTGCAAACAATCGCCAGCTCTAACAGTACCGTCTCACCACCCGCTCTCAACAACAGATCTCGTGGTTGCGATCTCATGATACAGCCACGTGGTCACGGCGTACGTGGTGACATCACTGCTGATCACGAAGTCGTGTGATGAAACTACTAAGCAACTTATTCACTCCCTGGTTATCTCTTGCCTTGACTATTGTATCTCCCTCCTCACCGGCCTACCTCATCGCAGGCTATCCCCTCTTCAGTCTATCATGAATGCTGCTGCCAGACTCATCCACCTTACTAACCGTTCCACATCTGCCACCCCTCACTGGCTTCCCATTGCCCAACGGATAAAATTCAAAACATTAACAATAACATATAAAACCATTTATAACTGCCCCAAATGACATCACCAATTTTGTCTCCAAATATTACCCAAACCGTACTCTCCGCTCCTCGCACGACCTCCTGCTCTCTAGCCCCCTTGTCTCCTCCCTTGCTCGTCTCCAGGACTTCTCCAGAGCTTACCCCATCCTCTGGAACTCTCTACCCCAATTTATCAGACTATCGCCTACTCTGCTCACTTTTAGGAGATCTCTGAAAACCTATCTTTTCAGGGAAGCCTAGCCTGCCTTCAGCTAATAATGGAATCTTCTATTCCTCCCACAAGTCCATCCCCCACAGTTATTACCACTAGCCCCTCACTGTTATATTGTAAGCTCCACGGAGTAGGCCCTCCTAACCCTCTTGTATTGAACTGTATTGTTGCTGTATGGTCTCCTGTTATATTGTAAAGCAGTGAGCAAACTGTTGGCGCTATATAAATCTTGTATAATAATAATAATACTAGTAATGTGGAGTTACTTTGGCACCACTGTGCATTGGTTTGAACCTTTTTTTGTTCTTCTTTAGCACCTATCGAATCCACTTGTCACCACTGCCAGAAGTCAGTCAGTGACTCTTCGTTCATCAGATGGCACCTCCTTAGACCTGCTGGATCTCTCCAACTTCCTCAAAGGCCCCCGCCTTATTTTATTGTACTGCCAAATATCCTTAAAACGATTCTCTGAACTCTTAATATGGTTGATGTCCCAATAGTTTCTTGGAATGTCAGGGGGCTCTGTGACCCCCTGAAACAGACTATTCTGTTCTGGCTAAATATCACCCGACAGTAATTTGCCTCCAGGAAACACATCTCACTGCTGAGGCATTGAGTTGTGTTGGTTACAGATGGGTGGGATGTACCTACCACTCCACTCATACCTCTTACTCCCGTGGGGTTAGTGTGCTGGCATACCAACAGATTGATTTTTATTTGTCTTTCTGTACTGCAGAATGTTCATATTGGTGTTTGTACTAGCTACTGTACATATTCCACCCCCTTTCTCTACAGTGGTACTCAGACAACTCCTTTATTTTCTGCTGGATAAACCTGATGTACCACCATTGCTGGTGGGTGACTTTAATGGATATCTGTGTCCTGCACTCAACAAGCATCCACCAGCAGTGGTAGGTCTGTGATACAAAGGTAGTACCCCATCTAGATTTCTTCAGGAGGTGGGCTGGCTGGATCTTTGGTGTAGTTGTAATCCCAAATCTCCTGCTTTTCTTAGTCCTGTGTGACCCTATCGAGGATTGATTTGTGTGTTACCTCTCCTAACTGCACTTATTATGTGTCTAGTCCAGGGCTTAAAATTTCAAGTCCTGAGCAACTAGCCAGGCCTTAAGTGTTTCTTGCCACCAGTTGCCCCACCCAACCCCTACGCTGCTACACCCCTAATTCCGCCCCTAAACACACCCTCATAAATTATTTCATGAAATGACACTGTTAAATGTTACCCACATTACATCAGGGTCCCCAGAGTCCCCCCACATTACATCAGGGTCCCCAGAATCCCCCCACATTACATCAGGGCCTCCAATGTCCCCCTAAACACTCCCATCATACTTAGACCATGCACCACATACAACCATAACCTCCTATAATCTTTCACTCACAAAACCATAACCCTACCAAGCATATCCTACCTACTATCCAACCCAGCAGTACCTCAAATGTCCCATACTCTACCACCCATAATGACCACATAATCCTGAACCTGACCAAACCACCCATACATGTAGGTATACATACAGACACATGTACATACACACACACACACACACACACACAGAGACACCTGTACACACACACACACATGTACATACATACATATATACATACATACACACTCACACAGAAACATGTACACACAAGCACAGAGACACGTGTACACACATACAGACACGTATACACACACAGACACGCATACATGTACATACACACATATGTACATACACCCGCACAGACACATGTACATACACACAGACACATGTACATACATACACACACAGACACATGTACGTACATACACACACACACATGTACATGCACACAGACATGTACACACACACACAAACATGTACATACACGGAGACACATGTACAGATACACACATGTACATACACACACATGTACATACACACACGTACATACATACACAGACACACACAGATACATGTACATACACACAGCCCTATAAAAAGTTGCAGTACTTCGTTGTTCACTCAGAGAGCCGGGCACTCTAGGGGGAGGCAGAGAGCACAGCACACACTCCTTCCTTTGCTTTCACTACACTCAGCTATTGAGCAGTCTGACGGATCCCAGTGTCAATGACAGACCTGAGCTCCAAGCCTGCTCAGCAAGACGGCCCTGGGCACACACTTGCCCCACCATAATTTCCACTCGCCATTGGCGAGCAGGCCAGTGGAAATTTCAAGGTCTGGTCTAGTCTATTGTATGCCAACTGCTCTGTATCTGACCCCTGGTTGTGTGGCTTACAGCCAAACATGATTCGACCCTCCCTAGAGTTGCCTTGAAATTAAATCCATTCTGGCTGCACCTTTTTCCGAACCAGGTCTCTGGTTGAATCTCGTATAGCTAACTATTTTACCCTACATGCAAATTTTCATGACCTATTGCTTGCCTGGGATGCCTTTAAAAGTTACCTTTTGGGTTTTTTCATTTCTTAAATTAAGGCAGTGCAATACACAACCAGGGGACATGAGGCTGGTGTTGCCCAGTTAGTAGAGGAAGAGCAAGAACAACATCAGCAGCAGAGAGTAAGTGATTCTTTAAGCAACAAGCATACTATGAGGAGGGTGAGCAGACTGGCAGGTTACTCACAAAAATTGCTATGGCACACCAGATGGCTCCACCTATTTCAGCCTTGAGTACACTTAGAGGCTCTGTTTCTGACTGTCCCACTACAATAATGGAGGAGCCTGTCCACTTCTTTATAGATTTCTATAGCCCTAAAACCAAGACTACTGAATCTAATCTGACTCGCTTCCTTTCAGGCATTGACCTCCCTTAACGGTCGTTGCAGAATAGGCGGCTGCTTAATGCCCCCCTCAGGAAAGAGGAAATTATGTCAGGTATTGCTGCCTTTCCCACTTGTAAAGCCCCAGGTGAAGAAGGCCTACCTATTGAGGTATATAAACTATAAGCAGAGACATTGGTACCACAACTGCTGAGGGTGTATGAGGTGGCCTTTGAAAGATGCTGCCTCCCATCCTCTATGACTAGGGCTAATATTGCCTTAGTTTTGAAACCGGGTAAGCCACCTACTGATCCAGGCTCCTATAGGCCCATTTCTTTATTGATGGTTGACATTAAGATCCTGACAAAGATTTTTGCCTTTAGATTAAGTAAGTGCATCACTACCACTGTTCACCGCAATCAGTCAGTCTTCATTGCCTCAAACGTCCACAGCTATCAATATCCCTATAGTTTTCTTAAATTTTCAGACCATGGCATGGGGGGGGACTGTGCATGCCTGTCTCTGGATGCCAATAAAGCCTTTAACAGTGTAGAGTGGCCCTATCTCTGGCATACTCTTGAATGCTTTGGCCTTGGAGATAATTTAATTTCCTGGGTCAAACTGTTATACCATGCAACTTTGGATGTTGCTTCAATCCAAGAGGGTGGCCGGAACTCCCCTGTTTTTGGGCTGGGCAGAAGAACGAGGCAGGGCTGTCCCCTCTCCCCTCTTTTGTTTGCTTTTGCTATTGAGCCACTTGCAGCTATGATATGAGCTAATGACAACATTGTCGGCTTCCGCTATGGGGAGTTGCATGAGAAAAAAACCTTGTATGCTGATGATATGCTTCTCTTTGTAGGTGACCTTGGACCCTACCTTCAGGAGGTTATGGCCACCATCACTTCCTTTGGGGTACACTCAGGGTTAACGATAAATTGGACCAAATCTGCCTTACTCCCCTTGGACAGGGCGATTCCTTCAGACTTAGGCTCCCGCTGCCTGTTCCCAGTGATGGAATCATTCAAACATCTAGGAGTAATAGTTTCCCCTTCCATTGTGAATTACCGCAATCTTAATGTCATGCCACGACTTCTCCGGTCAAGTTACAAATTTGGAACAAACTATGGCTCTCTCTGATAGGAAGAACCAACCTGATCAAAATGATTCTCATGCCCCAGCTGCTATACTTCTTGTATAATGCTCCTGTAGTCATCCCTCTGCATATCTTCTGGTTGGTTAATTCTATATTTCACTCTCTGTTGAAGAAAGACAAAATCCAGAGACTTAAACTTGAACAGTTGCAGCGTCCCAAGAATCGTGGGTGGGGGGGTAGCCCTCCCCAATCCATGGCTCTACTATCTAGCGACATTGTGCTGCGGGCCCATCATACCCCTGTTAAACTCTGCCAGACTTGCGTTTTGCAATCCCCTTTGTGTGCTATGTGCAGGGCGTTGCAGGGTGATCTCATACACTTGATGAGGTGCTGCCCCAGGCTTCATCGGTTCTGGGAGGCAATAGTGGATACTATTAATAGGGTTTTTCAAACCACGATTCCACTTGAACCCATCTACTGTGTACTGGGAATCTTGGATTAGCTTGCCCTGAGTGACATGCAGACAGAGGCTATCAATAGAGCACTTTTTCAGGCTAGGAGACGTTTTCTGAAATAATGGAAGTCAGACCAAGCCCAAACCCATGGAGAATGGATCAATTTTATGGAGGACACCCTCAGGTTGGAAAAAGTTATATTTCAGCATAGAGGATGTCCATGGAAGTTTGAGCGCCTGTGGGAAGACTGGTTAGCTGTTCCTGGACTTACCCGAACTGATCTTTTTTTGGATAGGCTCTTAATGTAGAACTGACTGATGCTATTGGAGTGCTCGACCCCTATGTAGAACTGTACCAGAAGGGATTGATGGGCCATCCTGTGCCAGCATGCTGTAACGATAATTGACACATGGGGATGTGTACTATTTATATTGCTACCACTCATTGGCTGAGGTTGTGGTGTCTTGTGTGTTTTCTATACCTAATGCCCTCTGACTTGTATATGTGTTGACACTGTCATTGTTATTTCCTTTGATTTGTGTTCAATAAACTTGTTTATGAGTTAAAAAAAAAAAAACACCTCCGGTCAGCCACAATTCCTGCACCTTCACCTCTCAGATCACCCCACTTCCTGCACTTACAAACCTCAGATCTGCCCCAATTCCTGCACTTCCAGACCTCAGATCATCCTCAATTCCTCCTCTGCCACATCTTAGATCTCCCTCAAATTCCTACACCTTCACACATCAAATCATCCCCAAATTTTGCATCTTCAGACATCAGTTCACCCCTAATTTAAGCACCTTCACCTCTCAGATCAGCCCCAATGCTTGCACCTTCAAATATTAGATCAGACCCAATTTTAGCACCTTCACAACTCAAAACAGCCCCAATTCCTGTACCTACAGACCTCAAATCAGCCCCAGTTCGAGCACCTTCAGGCCTCAGATCACTCCAATTCCTGCACCTTCACATCACAGATTAGCCCCATGAGATATAATTTATCAGACCTTAAATAACCCTCAATGCACGCCTACACACACTTTAAATCGCAGATCAGTCCCTGTGCTTGAATGCCTGCACATTTTTTTGTAATTACCTCTTTTAGAAAACACTGACTAAATTAATATACACATCCTTGAGTATATTGTGTGTAAAAAAATAAATAAAAATTAAAAATGTTATATATATATATATATATATATATATATATATATATATATAAACACACACAGTGAAGGAAATAAGTACTTGATCCCCTGCTGATGTTTGCCCACTCACAAGGAAGTGATCAGTGTAAAAATCGAATGGTAGGTGTATTGTAACACAGAGGCAGAATAGCAACAAAAAATTCAAAATGCATGTCTAACAAATTATGCACGGATTTACATGTTCATGAGGGAAATCAGTATTTGATCCCCTTCACAGAACCTGAATTAGTACTTGGTGGCAAATCCCTTGTTGGCAATCACAGAGGTCAGATGTTTCCTGTAGCTGGCCACCAGGTTTGCACACATCTAAGGAGGGATTTTGGCCCACTCTTCTTGACAGGTCCTCTCCAACTCATTAAGGTTTGGTGGCTGACATTTGGCAACTCGAACTTTCAGCTCCCTCCACAGATTCTCAATCGGATTAAGGTCTGGAGACTGGCTAGGCTACTCCAGGACCTTAATGCGCATCTTCTTGAGCCACTCCTTTGTTGCCTTGGCCGTGTGTTTTGGGTCATTGTCATGCTGGAACACCCATCCACAACCCATTTTCAATGCCCTGGCTGAGGGAAGAAGGTTCTCACCCAAGATTTGATGGTACATTGCCCAGTCCATCGTCCCTTTGATGCGGTGCAGTTGTCCTGTCTCCTAAGCAGAAAAACACTCCCAAAGTAGAATGTTTCCACCACGTTTGACAGTTGGGATGGTGTTCTTGGGGTAATAGGCAGCATGCCTCCTCCTCCAAACACAGGGAGTTGAATTGATGGCAAAGAGCTCGATTTTGGTCTCATCTGACCACAACACTTTCAAACAGTCCTCCTCTGCATCATTCAGATGTTCAGTTGCAAACTTCAGACGGGACTGGACATGTGCTTTCTTGAGCAGAGAGACCTTGCGGGCACTGCAGGATTTCAATCCTTGTCAGCGTAGTGTGACACCTATTGTTTTCTTGGTGACTGTGGTCCCACCTGCCTGGAGATCATTGACAAGATCCTCACGTGTAGTTCTGGGATGATTCCTCACTGGTCTCATGATCATTGACACTCCACGAGGTGAGATCTTGCATGGTGCACCAGACCTAGGGAGATTGACAGTTGTTTTGGGTTTCTTCCATTTGCGAATGACTGCACCAACTGTTTTCACCTTCTCACCAAACTGCTTTGTGATAGTTTGGTAGCCCAGTCCAGCCTTGTGTAGGTCTACAATCTTGTCCCTGACATCCTTGGACAGCTCTTTGGTCTTTGCCATGGTGGAGAGTTTGGAATCTGATTGTTTGATTGCTTCTGTGGACAGGTGTCTTTTATACAGGTAACAAAATGAGATTAGCAGCACTCCCTTTAAGAGACTGCTTCTAATCTCAGCTTGTTACCTGTATGAAAGATACCTGGTAACCACAAATCCTGCTGAATGATAGGGGATCAAATACTTATTTCCCTCATGAACATGCAAATCGGTGCATATTTTGTTAGACATGCATTTCTTTTGAATTTTTTGTTGCTATTCTGTCTCTCAGTGTTACAATACACCCACCATTCGATTTTTAGACTGATCATTTCTTTGTGAGTGGGCAAACATTCAAAATCAGCAGGGGCTCAAATACTTATTTCCGTCACTGTATGTATAAATACATTATATATATATATATATATATATATATATACACACACACACACAGTATATAAATGTATTGAAATATATTGAA